TTTCTGTTAATACTTAAATGATTTTTTTTTTTTTGAATGACCATCTTCAATACTTAGGGTACAGGTTTGCCAGACTGGCTGTGTAGAGGTATCATCCCCTGGTGCCCTTTGTATTCAAGATGCACTAGTTTTATATTAGAGTACTGCCATTACTACAAGATTTTTTTTTTTTTTTTTTTTTTTTAATTTACCTTATATCTATCATTTTTATTTAATTGTGTTTTCTTTTATCATTCTATGGTTTCTATGCTTTTGATCCAGTGTGGTGATGCACTTCTCAATGTCAAACTTAATCACAAGTCATGTTACATTATCCTTAATATAGAATTGTAATCAATGTTATCATTTTGTAATAATTGTTCATGCCCCCTGCGGGCCCTTGATTGGTGAATAAACATAATAATATATTGAATTTATATTATACTGTGCTAATAAGAAAAAAAAGGTCTCAAAAATTGTTTATTTTATAGCAATGCCCGTCTTTCCTGTTACAGAATCATATTTAGAAGTCCTTTAATATCAAAACTTATCTTTTCATAGTTGAAAAAAGAATAAAAAATAAAATAATTACTACAAAGTAATAAAATGAAAATAATATTAAATCTGACAAATGAATAAAAGTCCACATTTTTTTCTGATTTAAGCAAAATTTGTCCGTACTGTTACAATATGCTATGTCTTTCCTGTTACATAATCACTTTTTATGTTTCAATTAACAATTAGAAACAATGAATCCTTACTCAAGGTGTATTTGTGTTACTTACTTCAATTTTAATAAAAATCATGCAATAAATTTCTTGGTTAATGATGAGATAGGTCTAAAATCCACATTTTCTTTAATGTTAGTCTTTCCTGTTACAAAAATTGTCTTTACTGTTACAAATTAACACGTAACAGGATGGACATATAACAGGGTAGACAATTGCTCTATATTTGGTCATTTTTTTCCTTATTGCTTACCATACAAGCTGATGATGCAGTAGGTTTGAAGCAAAATGTTTAAGTTATTTTGTTAAAGAAGTTAAAATTGTTTAACTCCATTGTTTAAGCTTTATTTCAATGTAACAGTACGGACGTCATTTTTTTCTACTGCGTAAATCGTAGTTATATTTTGGACATTTTATTCAAACTTATCAAATTTAAAAAAATTACATTAACAACCTAGTAACATGCAAATGTAACCAAGGCTAATGGTAAGAATGAAACCCAGAAAAGTAAATTCTAAATATTTCTATTTTCTTGCTTTTCATTGGCGTAACAGGAGAGACAAAAACTTGTGGGACACACCTTTTAGTCTTTTTATTTACAAGATGAGCTTAATTAGGACAATTTTAGTGTTTTTATGGCATTTATTATGAACAGTTTAAGGCATACAAGGAAAAAAATGAAAAGAAAATGAACAACATATGCCATAAAACACTTGTTAATTCAATGGAAAGGAGTGTGTGACATCACAAAATGTGCTAATTTGAGCTATTATCAATGCATTTTTTCTTTAAATATATCACACAGCTATAAAATTAATATTCTGCCAACTACAGAATGATGTATTCTAAATAGTAATATGAAAATTTATATAATTAGCTCACCTGAGCCGAAGGCTCAAGTGAGCTTTTCTGATCAAAATTTGTCCGTTGTCTGTCGTTGTCGTTGTTGTCGTTGTCGTCGTCGGCGTAAACTTTTCACATTTTCATCTTCTTCTCAAGAACCACTGGGCCAATTTTAACCAAACTTGGCAAAAAGTATCCTTGGGTGAAGGGGATTCAAGTTTGTTCAAATGAAGGGCCACGCCCATTTCCAAGGGGAGATAATCATGAATTTATTAAAAATTAATGGCACTTTTAAAAAATCTTCTTCTCCAGAACCGCTGGGCCAGGAAAGATCAAACTCATGTGGAAGCATCCTCAGGTAGTGTAGATTCAAATTTGTTCAAATCATGACCCCCGGGGCAAGGGTGGGGCCAAAATGGCCGACCCAAGTTTTACATAGGAATGTATAGGAAAAATCTTTAAAAATCTTCTTCTCAAGAACCACTGGGCCAGGAAAAATGAAACTCATGTGGAATCATCCTCAGGTAGTGTAGATTCAAGTTTGCTCAAATCATGACCCCCGGGGCAAGGGTGGGACCAAAATGGCCGACCCTAGTTTTACATAGGAATATATAGGGAAAATCTTTAAAAAATCTTCTTCTCCAGAACCACTGAGCCAGGAAAGATGAAACTCATGTGGAATCATCCTCGGATAGTGTAGATTCAAGTTTGTTCAAATCATGACCCCCGGGGCAAGGGTGGGGCCAAAATGGCCGACCCAAGTTTTACATAGGAATATATAGGAAAAATCTTTAAAAATCTTCTTCTCAAGAACCACTGGGCCAGGAACGATGAAACTCATGTGGAATCATCCTCAGGTAGTGTAGATTCAAGTTTGTTCAAATCATGACCCCTGGGGCAAGGGTGGGGCCAAAATGGCCGACCCAAGTTTTACATAGGGATATATAGAGAGACCTTTTAAAATTTTCTTTTCAAGTACTTCAAAGCTATGATTAGTGATATTTATATGGAATCATCCTCAGGTAGTGTAGATTCTAGTTTGTTCAAATGATGAACGCCTGGAGGGGGGGGGGGGGTAAATTCAAGCCCGATGTGCTCAGGTGAGCGCTGTGGCCTCTGGGACTCTTGTTTTTACTTCATATACTTTTTTATCAGCTTGTGACCGAAATTTTGGCGATTTTTGATAATGACTCATATATGTATATACTTAATATAGAAGAATTGCTCTTCACCATATGTTGTATTCTGTCTAATACTTTATTATGTTTATATGTTATTATATATGTTATATGTTTATGCCCAATGGACCCTGATTTGGTAATAAATAATAATTCTATTCTATTCTATATTTAAGTTAGCTTTATGTTATCAGGTCCAGCACAATACACCGATAAAGGTATATAGCTTGATCAAGCTATAAAGCTTTATCAAGGTATTTAAAATACCTTGATCAAGGTATTATATGTAATGAAAATTCAAAAAAATTCTTTAAAAATTAATTATTGAAAGTCGAGTTCTGAGTTGTTGTCAGTAAATTCACCCAATGGGTCCCATGCATGTAAAGTACACAAACACAATGAAATCAGTAGAAAAACATGTCGTGTGAGGAGACGTTATTTTATGCTTTCTTTTTGATACCAGAGTGTTTTTCATGCACGAGTAGACACACTGACAAAAACTCAGAACTCTACTTTCAGTATTTAATTTTTGAAGAATTTTTTTGAATTTTCATTACATAAAATACCTTGATCAAGGTATTTTAAATACCTTGATAAAGCTTTATAGCCTTGATAAAGCTTTATAGCCTTATCAAACTATATACCTTTATCGGGGTATTGTGCTGGACCTGGTTATATATTTAGTTGGCATATACAGTGTAAGTCCTTAGTTGTTATCATAACCTTAAAATTCATATTTTTCTTGCAGGAGATAGACAGCCTCCTGAGGTGTCCAATCTGTTATGATTTTATACACACTGCAATGATTCTGCCTGAGTGTTCACACACATGTAAGAATAATAAGACAGTGAAATATTTTAAGACGAGAAAACCAGACTTAACAATGTTTATCAGTTTAACTCAGATGTTTATAAGCACATATTTAATGAAAAGTTCTGCATTTTTCTCAGTTGATAATTTGATGGCTCATTTAAATACCGAGGGGGATCAAGTATTAAAATAATATGAGCCACAAACTTCTCAATGGAGAAAAGTTCTGCCTATGAAGCAAAACTCCACAAAAACATATTTCCAGAAATAAAACTTTCATCGATAATATTAAATTATTTAAGAATGGGAATTTTTCTGCACTACTACATCGTAATTATTTTGAGCATATATTAAACTGTGAATTAAATACTCAAAATTCTGACTAATTGATGGATTATTATCCATTTATTGTCTTTTTACAGTCTGTTCTTTCTGCATTAGACAACATTTATCTCACACAAACAAGTGTCCGATCTGTAATAGTGTAAGTACAATATTGTTGATACATGCATATGTGTAATTGTGTATGTCAAATTGTGTTACAATGAATGGATATGTCAGCATAGCAGTTGTTTCCCTTGGCTTAAGGAGAATAATAGAATCATTCATTTCTACAAAAGTGGGATAGTGAAATTCCACTGAGGGGACAAGATTCACGATCTAGGAAGAGGCTTTGCCAAGTCGTAAACCATGAATCTTGGCCATAAGGTGGAATTTCACTATCTTACATGAATAGGCATGTATTAATGAATGATTATTTTTCTCGCATTATTTTATCCAAAATAATGATATACCTTAGCCATTAGACAAAAAAATTTTTGTTTTTAGGTCACCTGAGTAAACTCAGGTGACCTATTGCTATCCGTTTTCGTCCGTCGTCGTCCGTCGTGCGTCGTGTGTTAACATTTGAACATTTTCAGCTTCTTCTCTGCAACCACTGAACCAATTTCAACCAAATTTGGCACAAAGCATTTATGGGTGAAGGGGAACAAAAATTATGAATTTCATGATCCCTGCCCCCCTGGGGCCTGAGGGGTGGGGCCAAAACCACTAAAATTAATGCAATCTTTAAAAATCTTCTTCTTTACTCCTGGACATCAAGCAGTCAAACTGTTTGCATGATTGTAATCAGCATTGAGTCCTCTACCAAAACTGTGAAATTCATGGCCCTGGGGTCAGGGTTTCTAGTGCTAGGGTGGGGCTAAATAAGTATATAGTGAAAATGCATTATTTCTTTGAAAATCTTCTTCTCTGCTCCTGGGTATTAAATAAACCAACTAAGTACATAGTTATGATGAGCAAGAGTGCCTCTACCAAAATTGTGAATTTTATGGCCCCAGGGTCAGGGGTTCTGGTGTTAGGGTGGGGCTCTATTGATTATATAGTGAAAATACATGATTTCTTTGAAAATCTTCTTCTCTGCCCCTTTGTATTAAATAAACTAAGTGCATAGTTATGATGAACAAGAGTGCTTTTACCCAAATTGTGAATTTTATAGCCCCAGGGTCAAGGGTTCTGGTGTTAAAGGGGGAGGGGGGCTCTATTGATTATATAGTGAAAATACATGAATTCTTTGAAAATCTTCTTCTCTGCTCCTAGGTATCAAATAAACTAACTAAGTGCATAGTTATGATGAGCAAGAGTGCCTCAACCAAAATTGTGAATTTTATGGTCCCAGGGTCAAGGGTTCTGGTGTTTGGGGGGGGGGGGGCTCTATTGATTATATAGTGAAAATGCATGAATTCTTTGAAAATCTTCTTCTCTGCTCTTAGGTATTAAATAAACTAACTAATTGCATAGTTATGATGAGCAAGAGTGCCTCAACCAAAATTGTGAATTTTATGGTCCCAGGGTCAGGGGTTCTGGTGTTAGGGTGGGGCTCTCTATTGATTATATAGTGAAAATTCATGAATTCTTTGAAAATCTTCTTCTCTGCTCCTAGGTATTAAATAAACCAACTAAGTACATAGTTATGATGAGCAAAAATGCCTCTTCTAAAATTATGAATTTTATGGCCCCAGGGTAAGGGGCTCTGGTGTTAGGGTGGGGCTCTATTGATTATATAGTGAAAATACATTAAATCTTTGAAAATTTTCTTCTCTGTCTCTGGGTATGAAACAGATGAACTACCTAAATAGTTATGATGAGCAAGGGCCCTAATCTTGCAGAATTGTGAATTCAAGGCCCCAGGGTCAGGGGGGGGGGAGGCTCTACTTATATACTGAAAATGAATAATTGTTTGAAATCTGCTCATTTATATTTATAAAACATTTATTTATTTTTTGATAGGCAATTTTAAGGGTGCCTTTTTAAAATTTGTGCAATGTTTGGACCTAGGGTCAGGGGTTTATGTCACAGTGTTAGGGGCACTACTGATTATTGAATTATTGCTGAATATTACTGATTAGTTGGAATGCAATATTGTTCCCCTACCCTGGGTATGGGTACTCAGTAACCAAGCTAAGCAACTGCTAAGTGTATCAATGGTGCCTCTTTCAAAATTGTGAATGCCATATAGCATCTGGCTTAAAACATGAATCAAATTCAATAACTGGAAAGTTGTTGCATAATGCTCAGGTGACCTATAAGGCCCGTGGGCCTCTTGTTTTTTTTAATTTTCCATCTAATAATTAAATTTCTGAATTCATTATGAAAGACAGCCTACCTAAAATGGTTTACACATTATGTGTATACTACGAAATACATATCCTTACTACTGTGAAACTTTCATGTAATTGAACTGCATTGTTCTTTTGACAATTTTGTGCATGTAAAGTAAAAAGTGTAATTTGTGAATTTATTTTGGGTCTTATCACAATATATATCCATAATTCCATATTAAATGTATAAACTGAAAATGATTTTTAATTTTTATTTCAATATATCTTAAGGGCGCTTGTGAGAATAATTTAAGAAACAACAGGCTGATAGATGATGTGATATTACAATTTAAATCCATCAGGTAAATATATGTCATTAAATAAATGCTTTGTCTTTTATATCCATGCGATGTGTCTTATATTTTCATACTATTTGTGTTTTAAAACATAAGTATTTTGGAAAAGCTATATTCAAAATGTCATTCATAAAACAACAGTAAAAAAGATAAAAAATAAATGAGTAAATTTTTAAAATAGAGGGCAGCTAGAATTCACAGTGAAACAGGCTGCAAAGGTGTCAGATTAGAACAAATCTCGCTGTATAACAGTGGTATTAATTAAAACATAACATTAGAAGTATTTACCCTGGGAATCATTTGCTGTTTGTTTTAAAAAATGAATTTTAAAATTTCTTTTAGATCCCATTTACTTGAAATAACAACAAAACATTCAACTGAAAAGGGTGGTAGCCACTGGAATTTGAACAAGGTAACCATTTGAGTTTAGGCCTTAACCATGTTAACAAAGATTTATTTTATTTCATTAATATTGAAATACATTGTATATACATGTATTAGTATTATGTTATATATTTATTGTAATACTTCATGGGGCAGTACTTTGGTCAGTATATGTACAGATGTGTGCCAAAAGTGAAGATAATTTTTACTTTTTCTCTATATACCCTAAAATCTTGAAAATAAGCCACCTATTTCTTGCATTAAAAATTACTCGAAAATAAGCCAGTTTTGAAATAAAGCCGGTCATGACAATGCCATTTAGGAAAGATGTTAAATGTTTGATGATTTCCTCGTCTTAAAAATTTGACGAGTGAAAACTTTGACGATTTTTTTACTGTGCAAAATAAGTACGAACGAGTACGAGTGATGATGTCATAGTACGAAGTCTGTAGTCTGTGGCTACTAATGAACGTATGTAAAATTAATAATAAAGGGTTGTTTATAAAGTTAAGTTATTTTACCAGTAATCATGTTACGCTGGCTAAAAAAATTACATCGCGGAACCAGCAAACATGGTGAATTTTTTTCATGAAATTGTCAGAACAATAATTATCTCATCTAGACCTGTACAAGCTAATGATGTGTTTAAAGTTGTTATAATTATAAATAAGTAAATGGATAAAAGGATGTTTGTAAAGCATTTAACTGTCAGGTAATACTGCCCGAGGCAAGAAACCTGCTGATCGGCAGAGCTTGGTAGTAATTACATTTCAATGTACCGTATAATTGAGTTGTTTAAATTTGTGTTTGTTTGATTAATTTATCAAGTGATTCAATTGCAAGTGGATATGTTATATATTATTTTTACTTTTTAAAAACAAGTTTATGTTTCATGTAAATTTATATGCTGTATACAATGAAATTAACTTTTCGGGATCGGCATTCTCAAAATATAAAGTACACGATTGATTACACCTTTAGACCTAAAGAAAGTACACCGGGAAATGCCAATGAATACAAAATAGACGAGAGAAAACTGACGAGCTTAAGTCATTCGTCCTCCTCAAACTTTCCACTTTTAAAGTATTTTTCTACACGCAAGATACTGAACAAAGTATTATTGTAATTTTTTTATTTTATTATATTCATGACTTTTTAATTTTAGATAGAACCAGTAGTTCTTTTTCTTTCGATTACACTCTATTTAATGATTGTATTGAAAATAAACCATGATAGTGCTCTCTTCTCTTACCAGTTTTTTGCATTGATAATAAACCGCAATTTGAAAATAAGCCGGTCTTGAAAATAAGCCCCCACTTTCTTACCAAAACTTAAAATAAGCTGCAGCTTATTTTCAAGATTTTAGGGTATTTCATTGAAAACAATATTTTGTAAAATCACTGGTATGACAACATTTCTTTACAAATTTTATCACAAATTTCTTGATAATCCAAGAAATTGTTGTACTTGACTATCTTGATAAAAGCAATAGTTTTTATCTGATCAGCATTGATATTTTAAAAATATTGTAATTTAACTGTGACATGAATTTTTAAGTCACATGATCTTGAATTTTAGAACTTGTGTTAATTGATGAACTATCTTTTAGTAAAAACTAAATATGTAAGTGATCTTTTAAAGAAAGACAGCTACATATTTTCTGGTTTAAGTACTGAAATAATTAAATCATTAAATTGGAAACAAAATTGACTTTTTTCAAATGATTTTTAAAAATGTTGTTTTCAATGAAATATATATAGAGAAAAAATAAAATTACCTTCACTTTTTGCACACATCTGTATATCTTTAAATTACTACAATATAACAAAATAAAAAACAAATGTTCTTTTTTGTTTTTAACAATTTACAAGTATTATTTAAACGATTACTATTTGAAATAGAAAATTGTGAACATAGCAATGAAAAAGAATTATGAAATTTTTCCCACAGAAAACATTGCAAGAAACAAAGACTCAAAGTTTCCTTCCAATTTCAAAAAATAATATTGCTTCAAAAGACAGAGATGTCATTGACCTCATATCAGAAGATGGAGAGGAAAGTGAAAAAGATTTGGTGGATCCAAAATCTAATGAGAATAAGGAGAACATCACTGAGGTGGATCAAGGATTTTGTACACCTAAAGCCAAGGCTGGTACACAACTCTGTGGTCTAAAGGAGGCGGGGGGACTCTCCACTCCCGAGACAAAGAGCCCAGCTAATTTAAGCATGTTTTCACCTTCACCAAGAAAAATGGGTAGGTTGAAGTGTTAATTCTGAAATTCATTTCTCAGAGTTAATTTGCTTTAAAGGTACAGCTGTAGCTAAAACTGGCTTCAAGTTTTTTTATATAGAAGAAGTACTACCACTTTTTCAATATCCCCCCCCCTGCACTGATATTTAAAATTTACATGCCTGTAAAGTACATGATATACATATTTTTTGAAATGTGATGTTAATGTGTAAAGGATCGGATACTGGTATTTTCTTCCAGAACATGAAATTCTTATTTACTTTATCATTGCCATTGGTAAATAAAAATATATTAAATTTAAGAAGAAAAAAAACATGCTATCCCTGCATGCACACTTGATATTAAAAATAACCATTACATTAAAAAAAAATGGTAGAAGTCTGTCATCTCTTTTCAAAGCTTAATTTATTAAATGATATCAGACAAGTTTTCAATCAGACTGAATTAATGCAGAGTTATGTATTGACTTTTGATAATTGATAAGATTTTCAAAACTGATTTCACTTTGTCCCTTGGTTTATCAATTTGATTGGTTAGTCAGATTTCAGTTTTTCCTTGAACCATTGATTTAATTGGCTAGTCTGATTTCACAATTTTCAGTCATACATGCATTTGATTTTTTTTCATTGATTTCAGTTCCTTGCCCTGTTTGTGGAATTTCTTTAAAAGAATCTGCCATGAATGACCATCTAGACATTTGTCTTGGAGGAGAGGAGAAAAAGTCCGCACTAAGGAAGTATGTTTTTCATAAAAAAATAAAAATGGAAGTGTTAATAGTTTTGTACGTCCTTTAGTTTGCTCCTTGATTTATTACTTAGCCTTGCAAAATAGGAGCTATTTTAAATTTTTCATTTTTTGACACTGTTAAGTTTAAGGTTGATAGATTTTTTTCCCCATTTTAAACATGTTAAGTGACAAGTTAATCAAATTTTTTTGTATTGTATGACTGTAGGCAAACACCAAAAAGGAAACCAATGGCCAAGTTAGTGTACAATCTGATGTCAGAGAGGGACATCAAGAAAAAGATGAAGGAAGTGGGACTCTCTACAGCAGGAGATAAAAAAGTATGTTGAGTTTATAAAAAGTAACAGCAACTGCCTTCAAAAATTGGTGAAAGATCTCGCACACTGAACTTTGTAAATTAAAACTATAACATATACAAGGCACGTCCCTTGTGCACAATATTTACACTGTAATTTTGCATAGCAAATACAAGTATTTGTATCTACATTCGAAAGTTCAAGAAGACTGTGTTACTACTCTACAAAAAAGAATTATTCTGGTAAAAATAATTTTCTGCTCTTATTTTTTAGGCTTTGATCAGAAGACACCATGATTTTGTGATGCTGTATAATTCAGAATGTGATTCATTAAAACCTCGATCAGGTTGGGCAAGATAAGGAAATACAAATATTTATTACTTTTACGACAAAAGAGGAACTTTGAATTTGAATTGCTATACAGAAAGCAGTGATTTGTCTATAGCAATAATCAAAATATAGAGGTGATTTTTAGAAAAAATAAGGTCGTCATTAATATGCCTAATGCAATGATAAATACTGTAAACCAAGTATTATACGCGTGCGATAAATATCCGCGAGTTCCGCGAGTAACCTCTGCTCGCGGATATTTATCGTCGCGAACCATTTGCCCTTTTTTCAATACCGATCCCGACGGTTCAACAAGTAATCACGGAAAAAACTTTACTGTTAGTGTACAACATGTACAAGAAGCAGTTCAGAAAAAATAAAAACGAAAGGCAAAATTAATCTAAAACTATTTGTTTTAAAATGATTAAAATGTCAATAATCATTTCAGCTTGTGTTCATTTATTGTTACAGACGAGTCAGAGATAGCCTGGTTAATTACGGCTAATTATGACCCAGTCCTGCTCTGTCCAAACCATTTATAATAATTGCCCCTTGGCTATGTAGATTTTAGAAAGCGTCGATTACCCAATTAGTACGAGGCACTTTTACAATTGAGAGTTTTAAATCAATTTTAATCTCCTAGATTTTTTTTCCGATTTTCGTTTGAGCGTTGTGAAAATGCGTATGAAGTATACTTATGGTAAACATTTTACCCATGCACTTTAGGGGCGGATATTTAAGGAATCACTGTCTAGTTAGGAGGGTATGTCAGGGCATCAACAATAGTGGGAAACATGGGATAATTTGCATAACGGGCGAAGCCCGTTATGCTTAAATTATCCCATGTTTCCCACTATTGTTGATGTCCCTGACATACCCTCCTAACTAGACAGTGATTCCTTATATTTCCATTTCATTGTGAAATAAAATTGTAGATTTAGACTTTAAAAATGTAGATAAATAGATTTAAATCACATGATGACTTCCATGCCAATTTCATTAGTCCTCGCCAACCGACGTCAAACACAAAGGCAGCCGCACGGGATTTACATGCATATTTGGCTTCCTTAGCGTCAGACACAGAGACAGATGCGCACGAGAATTGCATGCGTATTAGGCCTCCTTAGCCCCCGACCTATCGACCTCCCTAATTTACATTCCGGCAGAATTATCAAGAAATAAAGTACCCCTAACTTTCAAAGAGTTATCACAGAGAAAATAATTAGAAATGGAAATATAAGATTTTAAATGGACGCAATGCACAGAATATCTTAAATAATGCATAAGCAGACCTCACGCTACCATTTTACCTAGTTTATGGGCGGATATAAAATTTTAATTTGATTCAAAAATACTCGTGGAAATAAAAAAATGTGACCACTTGTTCGCAGAAATAAATCGTCGCGGATTAGTTCTCTAACGGTCAGTCGCGAATAAAAAATGACGCGTATAATAATTGGTTTACAGTACATGATACTTGGTCACTACCTTGAAATATAAGTGATATTTGGGTGAGGGTAAGAAAACGTGATAAAGGGCAAAGCTTGCCAAGCCCAAATATCTCTTATATTTCAAGGCAGTTACCACATAGTTTTGTTTATCCTGCAACATGAATTTTAAATTTGACCTCCAAAATGAGCCATTTTCAACCTTCTTTTGGCACATCTCTGCAGTTAAAACTAGGACACCATGGCCTTAACATTAAAATAATTATACATATTTATGATGTCACAATGCTTTTAGAACTTTGGAATAATTACACAAGGTTTTATTAGGGCATTAACTGTACTGTAGATTCCTTATTTTTCGCGAGTACTTAATATCACGAATTGGCTCTTCAATGTCCAATCGCGAGACTAATAATTCATGAATGGACGGTTGATCAAGAGATTTTACATAAATTTCAGCACTTTAAGAATAAAAGCGAGTAATTATACCCCCCGCAAACGAAGTTTGGGGGAGTATATAGGAATCACCTTGTCCGTCTGTCTGTCTAGCTGTCTGTCCGTCCGTCTGTCTGTGCAATCGTGTCCGGTCCATATCTTTCTTACAGAGGGACATTAGAATCTACTACTCCACACAAAGATTGCCCATGACCTAAGGGTGTGTCATGACCTTAACCCAAGGTCATTTGGGGAACTTCAAGGTCCCTGGAAGAAAA